CTCCGGTATGCTTTTACATGCTTTCTCGAAACGGAAGATATTAAAAAGGCGTTCAGCGATTGTTTCGCCAACGATGGACAGGCGGTGTCTTCTGAATGATGTCGATATGTAATCCGAAATTTTTGTTGTTGATAAATTTAGCTTAAAAAAAAACACGTTCGACTTAAAAACTTTCCTCATGTTTCAAGTAAGAAATAACTTATTTTCGGCTAAAATTTATACTCCAAGCCTATTTATCCTTAATTTTCCGAATAATTTTGGAAAAATCGTATGATTTGATAACTAACAAATGCAAATGCAAAACTGGAAAATGCGGCATGAGTAAGTTACGCAGTTTTTTATTCGTAATATGATCGTTCGCGATTGTTTTTTTTTTTTTTTTATATGAGGGCTTTCTCCCTCACCCGTTGCTTTCATTCTCGGTGTGCCACATACGATGGACCTATGGTCATTTCTTCGAAGGGTTGTGCTATTGTTCTACTTCATTTCGTTTTGTAAAAACGACTGGTGATTTTAGGTTTCAAACCTACATATACATATATAAATGTACTCCGCTTGGGTAGTAAATCTTTCGAAAAGAATAATGGTAATTCGCAACTTGAACGAATTTATTTCGTTTTTTTCTTAAGCACAAGTCAAAAAATCCCTTTCCCCACCCCTTTGCTTTTTTTCCACCTTTCACTTTTCACCCTGTACGAAAGATAGAATTACTCCAATGCAGCTCGAACGGCAATACACAAACAATAACAGCACCTATTAAAAGAGGTTGTCGGTGGTTCCTTCTTCAAAAATGACCCACGCAAACGGCGACAGGAGACATAAGTCTGATATTAATATATAAATATAAATATATATATATACATGCATATATACATATATATACATGTATATATACACATATATACATATATATGTACATGTATATACATATATATATATATACATATACATATATATACAGACGTATGTTTGTAAATATGTGTAAACGCTTCTCTGTCTCTTTCTTTCTTCCTCTCTCTCTCTCTCTCTCTACACATATACGTATATATACATAAATACACATGTATATACGTAAATGTATAGGAAGAGGCGCTTATATTATTACTTAAAAACAACGTGTCTGATAGATACAATACCTTGGCGAACATTTTGAGTGCATAAAATTAACCTTGTTATCACGTCAAAAAACGATTGATCGTATCCGTCAGTGAACTGATCAGGGAGTCAAGTCCCAATAAGTAGCCCTCGTCGGGCCCATTATGTCGTTCATCGTCCAGGAATCCAGAGCAGGTCGAGTGCGCGAAATCAATCATTCGCAGATCAATCGATGATGATGATGCTGATGTCGACGATGATGCATCGTTGCCTGTTTTACCATCAAATGCTACCAGCAGTGAGCTGGAGAAGAATCGATAGCCTTCCGCTTCACTTAGTCGCTGCAATGCACTTCGTTTGAAGGCAATACGTGGTTTCATCGCCTGTACGCAAAATACCGGTTTGCTGTCCACTCCCTCAGAGGTTATGCTAGAGAACCGTTCAAACATGGGCAGAAAACTGTTACCGCGTCTTCACCAACCTGATTTTTCCCTCATATAAGTGGTTTGAAAGTCTCGATGAGTGCAATGAGCACACTGTGCTATTAACCCGCAAATCAGACTACTAAGGTCTGGAGGTTTCTGATCGATAAGGTATGTTGCTGTGATCTTAAAGTACAAGATTCTCAACGAACTGTTCAATATACATAACGAATTGTTCGATAGAGATAGAACAATTTCTACATATTTCCTATACATGACTTTTTTACATGACAGTTTTCAACTCTACTATCTCCCTTGTTCTTCACTACAAAAATCACTGCACCCATTTTTCAAATTCAAGGTTCCGATCTATCTATATTTTAAGACTCATACTTGCTTACACTTCATCATTTACGGTTCGACTTACTTCCCCGCGTTATACATATAAACCAATTTCCGCTTCCATTACACTTGTTCGAGGCAGTTAACTAATTATTATACATCAAGAAAGTCATGATGCGGCTAAAGTCTCAATGTTTATGCAGAGAAACAACTGAACTGGTACCCCCTTCAAGAAAACAAATCAATTGTTAGCATCGTCAGCAGACTAGCCAGGAAGCGTTGAAGCATTTGGACAAAGGATCTGAAAAAGCTATGACCTACACGTTTAGAAGAAATAATTATAATTTAACACTTATTTCAAGGCGGAGAGACTTCGAGCCAAATCGCTGAAAACACTCAACCTTGGCCGAAGCTCGGCAATCCAAGCCTAAAGATGAAGTCCAGGAACAGCTGCTGACATCAAAAAAAAAAAAATCCATCTAGCAGTGCGAGTCCATTCTTCAAAGACTGGCAGTTATCTTCATTTTGTAACTAGAAAATTCATTTGTGGCACTTAAAAATCCCGCTTTTTTAAACCGTGATGCCTACCTTCCTTAGTGTAACAAGTTTTTTGAGTAATGCTTTGCTTCGCACTTTGCCCGCTTTCATGAAATACTCGGCCAGAGTCTCTCGAAACATATCACAGTTCATCTGTCGGCCAAGATATTTGTTAACGTAGAAATAGCTGCCCGATTCTTCCCTGTAAAAAATTCATCAATAGAGCTAATAAATTAAATAGCCTTTTTTTTTGCGAAATACTTTGATAACGATCGCACTTCAATACAGGTACCAACATCCCTATATCTTCTTGTAGATTGGTTCAGAACTGTTCACAGATCTCAAAGCCGCACTGAATCCGCGCAGTTATCTCCGTATATTACGCCCTATGAGAAATGGAAGTATTCGGGGATGATCTAAGCAATAACACTTTGCCAACAGCGACCACTCGTTGGTAAAGCTGCTTACTTAAGTTCGTTTAAAGGAAACTGGTATTTAGCAGGTCCGCAGCAACTGTCGGCACTATTTTACGACTGGAACAAATCCACAAAGCAAAAAAGGGATTCCTTTATTCCGCTGACGGTTTCGAACTGTTAACCCAAAATTGAGGAAAGGCGACGCTTGCCAAACCTGTTGGCGATGACCAAACCAGCTAATGGAATGACTCTATGCAAGCGTCAGCAAATACATCTTCAGTGAAGTGCTGCGGTTTAATCTGGAGTGAACGACGTTAACAAGATAACGTGAGCTAGAAAGAACTAGATGTATGGCGAGAATGGAAGGCATCAAAATAAGCAAAGTGGATTACAGAATGATACCAATGCAATACTATTTGAATAACAGAAAGGTTGCCTGTGCGAAGAATATGCTTAAACACCTATATGGAATTATATGAATGGGGAGAGGCGCAAAACAGAGAAGAATGGAGAAACTGCCATTTGTATCAGTGGCAAGAAAAAACGAAATAACGAAACAACAGCTTGGCAGAATCTCAAACGAGAACAATCGGTGTTCCATTTAATGCATTTACAAGAAACTGGGAATCTAGTAAAACGCAAAAGGCAGACTGCTTACCTGTACAGCTGCATTCCGACAAGTCTAATTCCAATGGTGGCACTGGTAGATGCACGGCACTTGTTGGTCTGTGCCTGGCGTTTCTGGTCGCTCGCATCATCGCCGTATTGTCGGGTGCCCATTTTCAGATCCATGACGCACGGGCGC